ATCTTCCGTTTCTTTGCAGAATCCATCCCAGCATTTACCACCCTGGCCGCAAACATTAAACTCCCGATATGCACAGATGTGCGCGCCCTGCCCTTCCCACAGTGCAGTCTCTCCCCGCCCGGCCCTATCTCTGGGTGCAGGCCTGGGGCTCAGGCCGCACACAGCCCATCTTACAGCCCCCACCCTCCTCTGTCCTGTCGCAGGAGGAAACCTCTCCACCCAGGAGTCCAAGCCAGAAACCCGGGTCCTCTCCTCGACTACTCTGCCCCAGGTCCTTTAATCCCACTTCAGACAGCTTCTGTGTCAGCCTCTGCACTCTCTGCACACACAAGTCCTCACTAGTATCGCCATCAGCTGGACGGGGGTGCAGAAGGAATGAAGATGTGTTATGTACTCGTGCTGACTGCATACTGAGGGCGAGGACTCGCAGAGAGCAAAAGAATACTGTTATCAGGAATGACACCAGTATTTTCACACTAGCATGTTCTCCTGTTTCAATTTCTTTCAAACTTGGAGATGTTACTGTGGAGAAAAGCTTTAAAAATGGTTTTGAGAGCCAGGAGTGGTGGCACAACCTTGTAATCCCAGCACTCAGGAGGCTGAGGCAGGAGGGTCACTGAGGCCAGCCAGGACTGTATAGTGATATCCTGTCTCAAAGATAACGGGGAAAACAAAAGTTTTGAGAACAGACATGGTGTTACCTTTTAAAAATTTTTGTCAAGACACAAAACCACCATCATCTTCTCTCTTTGCTATTTCATAGTGATCATGTACGGACAGGGTTTAAATATAAAAATGAAAAGTCCAGAACTCTCAGAGGAGGAGGCAGTGGGACAGGAACCACCGGAACGCCATCTGAGTGATCCCTCTCAAAGCAGAAGACTACCATTCTCAGCTTGAGAATCTCTGTATTGTATAGTTTTTTGTTATTGTTTGAGACAAGGTCTTGCTATGTAGGTCAGGGTGGCTTTGAACTCTTTGTAGCCCAGGCTGACCTAGAAATCTGTGGCAATCCTCCTGTCTCAGCCTCCTGGATACTGAGACTACAGGCGTGGACCACCACACCCAGATTTTTTTTTTCCTGTTTCGTGCAGTAGTGGGGATCTAACCCAGGTGCACTCCAGCACTGAACTATAGCCTGTGTTCTTTTTTTTTTTAATTTTGAGACAGGCTTTGAATTTGCGATTCTCCTGCCTCAGACTTCAGAGTGCTGGGATCACAGGCCAGGCACCACCGTGTCTGGCTTTGGCTCAAATATTAAAATTTAACTTGGGAGGGCCTGACATTTAGCTCAGTAGCTCCACTGCCTGCCTCGTAAGCGCAAAGACCTGAGTTCAATTCTGGTACCAAAAAAAAAATTTTTTTTTTAACTTGGGAGGCTGAGGCTGAGGACTGCTGTGAATTCAAGTACAGCCTGGGCTACGTAGCGAGTTCAAGGCCAGCCCAAACTGCATAGTAAGACCCTGTCTCAAAAAACAAAATTAAATTTAAATATTCCTATTTGGTTCTACTGTGAAGGCTGAAAACCACACCCTTTAGGGTCCTTTACAATTTGGGACGGTTTGCTTACTCCACCAAATCCTCCCAGAACCACTGCATATTCTCTCCCACTGGTGAGAATATGTGGCTCATACTGGAGTGATTTCCTCTCTCTCAGAAGTGCTTTCGCAAAGTTCATGTCAGGATTCAGCCCCCGTTCAGACATCCAAGTTCTGGCGCCCAGGTCGGCCCAGGAGAGGGGAGCAGCCTCGCTGGAAACTGCTCCTCCAGTAGCCCTGATCTCGGAGTTAGTAGTCGTTGTCATCACCCCCGCAACTGGAAATCAATTCCGCAGTGGGAGCCTCCAGCCCTGGTGCTGTGCGGGGCAGCCCGTGCCAGCTGGCATGGGCACAGTTTGGGTTGGCACAACTACAGCAGGGGTAGGGGTGTCGCTGGAAGAGGCCGGGAATGGTGCAGGACAAGGCCGCCCCAAACAGATGCTCACCAAGGCTGAGAGCCCCTGCTGTATGAGCTAAGTCTCTCTTGGGCCACCCTTCACCTCAGAAATCCTTAATCATCCTTCAAGTTCAAGAGATCTTGCTATGTAGTCCCAGCTAGCCTCGAACTTGTGGCGATGCTCCTGCCTCAGCCTCTCGAGTGCAAGCTTCTAGCAATAACTTTAACACCAAGAAGAGCAGGTTATGGGGCTGGGGATTTAGCTCAGTGGTTCCAGTGCCTGCCTCATAAGTGCAAGGGCCCAAGTTTGATCCCTGGTACAAAAAACAAAACACACACAGAAAACAAGGTTGTGGGGCCTCCTGAGAACAGCCACAGCCTTGCCCCAATCTGAAAATCTTTCAGACCTCTTGAAAGTCCTGTAAGACTTAAGTCTCACTTTTACTCCTGGAGCGTGAACAGCCAAGAGGCTTCCATGATGCTGGGCTCAGAAGCTCAGCGAGGCTCCAGGAACTTGTCGGACAGCGAGAGTCACCCAGGAAGGAACACACCAGGCAAGTTGGCAAATAGACCTTTATTAGTCTGGCCAGACGGCACTCTCCAAGCCAAGTAGCTCAGAGAGGCGGCCAGCTCAGAAACAGAGGCCATTTTATATAGGGCTAAGGGGGGGTTTACACTTACAACTTACAGGAAGAGGACAAAGGCAAAGAATCAGTTGATCTGAGCTAGTGGTCATCAAGCATATACTTGACCGTCACGTACTAATGATCAGCAGATCGATTATCCATTATTCCATTTACAACTTAGATTATAATGTTCAGAACATTCAACTATAGGCAAGTAAGGAGTGGCGTGATTTGTGTTGGGTCTCTGTGTTCACTACAGTTTCCATTTAGTTTCCCAGCTACTTCAAAGCAGTTACCTAACAATTCACAATTAATCATTAGTTATCCTATAAGGGATGGGGGGAGCGACAGTCTCTAGGTCGTTTGCTGGTCAACATGGAGTCGCTCTGGTTCAGTCAGGCTCTTACAGTCCCTCACCTTCTTGCAGATTAGCTTGGACTAGAACAGAAAGAGAATTAAAATGACATAAGGAAAGTGTTAACACTTCCTTTCTTTTTTTTTTTTTCTTTTTATTTGAGACAGGTTCTTGCTGGGTAGTTCAGGCTGGCCTCAGACTTGTTGCGATCCTCCTGCCTCTGCCTCCCCAGTGCTGGGATTACAGGTGTTTGCCAGCATGCCCAGTTTATGTGGTTGTAGATGTGTCTTCATTTGTCCCGCTGATTAATGTCAAATTTTGTTGGTGGGTTCCACGGTGACGAGGACTATTTTTCTCTGTACATTGCTGGATCTGGGCATATACTGGGTACTGAATGGATGGACGGAGGATGGGTGGATTTCCAGCCAAAGAGCAGCCCACATGGAACAGCGGATGCAAAATGCTCCAAGGTCAGACGCACCCTGAGGATGGGGAGACTAGAGAAGCAGGCAAGGCCATATTTTACTGATTTCAGATAAAGAGTAGCTACTTCTACTTTTTTGACATTGAATTTGGTTCACTACCTTTGAAATATCGAAGTTAATAGCAGTAGCTAGCTACCAGACAGCAAAAGCAGTTTCAAATCCAGAGATGTTTACAGAGAAAAATAGACATACGTGGAAGAGAAGAGATTTTCAGTAGGATCAGACAGGTTCCATCTTCTCCCTTTCTTGTTGGGTGCTGGGGATGGAACCCAGGGTCCTGAACATGCCAAGCCCCTGCCCTGTGTACCACCGAACTACAATCCCAGCCTCTAGACACTGCCCCTTTTGAAGCTGTGGTCAGAGCCTGTGTGAGTTTTAATATCCAGCCACTAGCAAGGAAGCCGGATGCGCTGATGAAGTTGTCCCTAGTTTGAAACTAATGAAAACACCCAACTTCTGGAGGTGAACAAGGGCCCATATTCAGCAGAAATTGAAGACAGCCAACCACAGCCTCCCAAATCTCAAACTGTAATTTGAACACAAGGTTGTCTTATTAAAAATTCGGTAGAGAAACAGGCAAAATTTGAGCTCAGTGTGATGGTGCACACCCCTCAGCATTTGGGAGGGAGGCTGAAGCAGGAGGATCGCCACAAGGCCTACCTGGGCTATAATACATAGCAAGATGCTACCTTAAAAGCAAAAAAAAAAAAAAAAAAAAAAAAAAAAAAAAAAGGAAAGCAAAATTCAATTGCATTCACCTGCATCCTAAATCCAAAAGAAAGGTGACAGAAAAATAGATAAATTGGATGGTGAGCTTTTGCAGTACTGAGGAGGCCGTGTCCCCGACTATAAGGCCTGCAATTGTCGTCCTAACTGGAAAACAGAGGTGTGTTGGAGTTGCTATCCGAATCATCGCGGTTTGGAGCACAGTACAGGAGACGCGGGATTCCATCTTCCAAAGGTATCTCCAGTGGGGAGGCAGCCTCGCCCCAGTCCCTGGCTGTGAATAGCTACGCAGTCCTTGTGAATCACATAAAAAGGGTGTAAGTGAATGCGTATTTGGGCTCCCCTCCTGTTTAACGCACGATTTAATTTTTCTTTTTCTCTCTTTTTTTTTTGTGGTGGGGATTGAACTCGGGACCATGTGTTTGAGAGGCAGGCAGCGGAACCACTGCGCTAAATCCCCAGCCCCGATTTAATTTTTATTACTTTAGTTTTTTATTTCGATTTTTTGAGAGGGTCTCGATATGGAGTTCAGGCTGGCCTCAAAGTCCCGATGACCCTCCTACTTCAGCCTTTCAAATACTGGGATTAGAGGCGTGTGGCCCCACTTCACGGGGTCTTAATGTACGATGGGGAAAGCCAGGCGTATTCATTGATTCTGTTCCGGCCAAGACGCTGCTCCTCTTGCAGGCTGGCTTCTCTATACCTTAGTCTGGAGCTGAAGATCCCCTTTCAGCTGATCCCACGAAGGCCGAGCTGCATGGCGAATGCAAGGGGAGCAGGACCCGGCCGCGCAGGCAGGTCCCAAGCAAAGGGCGCCGGCCACCGAGGCGGCGTCGAGCCGGGCAGAAGGTCGACCCCGGGTCCTCCGCCGTCCCAGCATTCCCCGCACACTACCATCGAGAGCGACTTCCGGCGGCGTGGGGAGGGAGGTGGGGGAGAAGGAGCCGGCCCTTGCCGCTCTGTCGCGCTCCCTCGCGCTCTCTCTGGCATCATGGCGGGCGTGGAGGAGGCAGAGGCCTCCGGGAGCCACCTGAATGGAGACCTGGACCCAGACGACAGGGACGAAGGAGCGGCTTCTACGGCCGAGGAAGCAGCCAAGAAAAAGAAACGGAAGAAGAAGAAGAGTAAAGGGGCTGTTGCAGGTAGAGAGAGTCGGGTTTTCCCAGGTCCTACCAGGAATGGCCGAACGACTTGCTCGGCTCAGGCCCTGCGGGGCCAGCAGGAGCGGGGACCCCGAGCCCTGGACTGGATGAATTCCCAGGCCTTACTTAGAGAGTGGCAAGGCTGAGCTACAGAGCCAGCCCGGGGAGGGACGGCTTCTCCGCGGACCGGGGCACTGGTGGGGAGTCGAGGGGAAAAGCGCGGCTGAGCTTCGATGTGGTGGCTCTGGGGTCGCCGCGGCCCCGGTCGCCAGAACTGTTGTGCGCAGACCGCGGCTCGGACCCCAAACCACGCGCAGAGCGCAGGTCCCAACCGTCCTGCGAGCGCCCGGGCTCCGTACAAACCCTGTTCTGATCCGACCGGTTCGGCGCCTCGGCTGCGTCCACCCGGACGCGTTCCGCTCGTGTCCTGCCGGGCCCCACCCCACCGCCCCCCGGTTTTCACTGGGGTTTTTATTGAGCGGTGCACTTGGCGGGGAGGGGGGCTGTCTGCCCTCCCCGTCCTGTCCGTGAGACTTGGCGCTGCGGGTTTTCTCCTGCCTCTTCCCCAGCATCGCTGAGCGTTAGGGCCGTGAGCCCGAATTCGGAGGCCCCTCGCAGGCCGCTCGGGCGGGGGACTCCTGTGGCTGCTAATGGGACATCCTCAGCAGTGACCTCTGAGCCCCCTGGTACGACAAGGAAGGAAGCGAAAAGTTTACAGTTGGATCATGTTATGAGCTAGGAATTTGTTTTTATTTTTGAGAAGTCATTTTTCTTGGTGAATAAGCTCTTTTAGGAAAATTTTTTTTAAATGTTTGTAATTAAAATCAGTCAAGAAAGAGCTAGAGAAAAATGGGGAAGCCAGAAGTGATTAACGTGGAGTTGAGAGAGGTTGGGGAGGGCTAATGTACATCTTTATGAAATTTAGATTAGACGGGAGTAGAAGAGAGAGTTGTAGTTTTGCTGGATCTCGCAGGGCACGCTCCCGGGGGCTCTTCTGGCTTTCCTAGGAAATCTGAAGTCTGCACTTGGTCCTTGGAGGTGTGAATCTCCTGTAGTAACCAGAACGGCACTGCAGCATGTGCTACCCCGGATCACGACTTCTACACTCTGCTCCTCGAGCTGGGCTGTAGTCTCTTCCAGAGCAGGGGCCTGGTCTCTGCTTAGGCTTTCAAGATTTTCTGTTTTCTTTACTGGGAGGACTGAACCCTGGGCCTTGCACCTGCCCGGCGGGTACCCTACCACTGAGCCACAGCTTCAGCCCTTTCTACTATTTCTTTTTTGGCAGTATCTCTCTAAATTGCCCAGGGTGTTCTTGAACTTGCTGTTCTCCTGTCTCAGTCTCCTCAGTAGTAGGGACAAGCCCGTAGCTGGGATTTCAGGTGTGCACTACTGTGCCCGGCTAAGAATTCCTGTCTTGTCTTGTTCTGATTTATCCAACCCATCCTGACGACTTCTTTCTTCAAGAAGCTGGGAGTGAATTACACATGAATCTTGCTCTTCAGAGGCCTCAGCAATGACAACTAATCTACCTGGTAGTTAAAATATTTGTATGTAGTCTAATTGTTGAGTACTTTTAAGGATAGGAACTAAATGACTTTTTCATTTAGCCTTTATCTCTTAGCATGTATAGTGGATATATTGTAGAATGAATTAACAAATGGACAGTGCTATTTGTATAGAAATTTTTTTTTAATGTTACATTTCTGCTGGCTTGCATCACCAGTGGCACATGCGTGAGCGTCTCATCTGGCCGTGGCTGGGTCTGTCCTCGTTGTGAATGTGTTAACAAATTGTTTTCACAGTAATGGTTCTGTTTTGGTTTCCTGAGCAGTTTTCAGAAAAGGATTTGTAAATTTTGCAGGATCATTAGACATATTTTGGTGGGATGGTATCCTTTTTACATTTGATTTGTTTTATTCGATCTTCAGGGCAGCAGGAACCTGATAAAGAATCAGGAGCCTCTGTGGATGAGATAGCAAAACAGTTGGAAAGACAAGCATTGGAGGAGAAAGAAAGAGATGATGATGATGACGGTGAGTGATTCTTGTCTTTGCGATTAGAAAAGATAGAAAATGTGACATTCTTTTAATAAGATGTGCATATTTGCCCGTGTAACCTAGTCTCTGACATTTTACGTGTCCAGTGAACAGCACAGATAAAAGGTAGTAGGCTTCAGTCTCCTGCCCAGTGTATGATGCAGGCCTGAGAAAAAAAAAAAAAA